GAGAGGAGGGGGGGGGGGGGTATGAGTGGGGTCACGCCGGAAGCGTCGTGAATTATCAAAAGAGGGGGGGAAAGAAGGGTTATTAATCGAAATCGAATCGGCGATTATTCGTGACGGTTCACGCCCACTATTGGCCATTCAATTTATTTGGAATTCGAGTTTTTGATTGTGAGAAAGGAAATTTTCCTCAGCATTTCGAGCAGCTGCGAAAATCATTCTGTTGAATGACTTAAAGTTTCTTTTGAGGATGTCCAAGACTACTTTACCGATTCAACCATTTTCAATTATCAAATTCGTTAATTAAATTGCGTGAGAAAAATTGCAGAATTATATTTGGCATGGAATTTTTTTTAAGCATTCGTTGTTTATAAATAAATAATTAAAATTATTTAAACTTTCGGAAACCTTTTTTTTAGATATGAAATGGGTTTCTAGTAAAATTTTTATTATGAATAAATTGGTTACGATTTCGAACAAATTTCATGGTGGAAAATTGATTGTTTATAGATTGTTTATAAAAAATTCTCGTAATTTTTTAAATTGCGTTGCCTTTTTTAATTATTTCATGAATTTTCCACCAAAAGTAAACTTTCTAATTTTTTCATTTTCAGATTTATAGACCTGTAAAGTACAAATAATAAAATCTTAGCCTCAAATGGTTCTCAAATGAAACCTCTGATTTCACAAAATTTCCCAAAAAGAATCGCTAAATAAATTTTTTATGCGGCGTTTCTACTTTCAATTGAAAAACGTCTCCATCGAAAATTTGAAAAATGAAAAAATCAGAAAACCCCCAACTCTATTCACTCAACTTGACAATTTGTGTTACTGAGGGATGAAATTTATTACTCCAACGATAAAATCATTTCGCTCACAAAATCCGTAACAAATTCATCGAGTTACCTTTGCTCACGTGCCCCACGTTTTCACAATTTTTTCCCCCTTTCAGCCGCAATTGTTTCCCCTTTGTCAAATTGGACACAGTAATTCATGCCCCGGAGGTGATTTTTGCAGTGTCCAATCATGATGATTCAATTCTTTGGAATCACGGTCGTGTAGAAAATCGGCGATAAATTAAAAGTGCGCAGGAGAAACGGATCCTTATTAGCCAGACATGAGTTCAATTGGCCATGCGTAACATATTCACTGTTCAGCCTCGCATTTCAAAATGTTGTACATGGGTAGTCGATGTACCGAGTACTTGGGGGGGG